ACTCCGTCTTTGATTGATTTAAATCAAATTCCTCACATTATAAATATTTTCTGGTTGCAATTCTAATTTCGACTATGCATCGCTACGTTGAAAAATGTTTAATAATAAAATTAACTTTTTTTTTGTAAATTTTGATACCCTTTTGATCATAATTGCTCTTTATATCATAAATTATGATTTCATATTTTTAATTGCATAATTTTTGCATGCTATCTTACCAGATTTAAATTGATAATCTATAATCTGGAAAAACCCCTAATCAGGAATCACCGAAGTCCCGATGAGTCCAGATTAAAGACTATGTACTGTATATGATTTTCTGCCAGCATTGTAGTTTCTCAAAGCAGGATTGCTACACTGCTGGAAAACCGGAAAAAGTTAGGGAATTCGAAAATTGTTAAAAAAATTATGTGAAAAGTCAGGGAATTTAAATATTTTAGAGTGGGAAAAAAAAGTTAGTTTTGTGCCAACTTTGTAAGGGATCACTTTCTTAGCGAATAATGTATTGTGTCAGTGCCATTTAACCAGCTGGCGTAGAGCCAATTATCGCAGCTTCAATTAGATTGTTTTTTAGAAAGGCAAAGCAAGTTTTTAGCAACTTTAGTTTCCAGTAATCTCAAGAAGTGAGAGACTCGCATGCACATGTGCAGTGCATATTGAACTAAAGAAAATACGTATTCTCGTATAAAACAAAATCGGTTTAATCGTAATATACGGTACCATGGAGGTCAGAATAGCCTCCATGTGTTCTGTTCTAACCTCCGGTACACACGGGATCATTATGATGATGGTGACATTATGATGAGCAGTAAACAGGTGATTTTGATGTTGGCGACAATTTTCAAAATTGTGCCAAGCGTATACTGGGATTTTACCACAAAATCTTTTAAACCTTTTTTTGTTCTTTTTAATAAATGCCTTTTTTACCATTTTGCAGTAAAATAGGAAAAAAATTGTAATCAGTCACCTAGGCTAGCCATTAATTAATACTATATTTCCCAAAATATTGTTGATTATTCTAATTCAGTTATTAAGTAATTATCTTTATTTTAATGTTATTCATTATGATGACGTACCATCTTAAAATTTAATGCACATATGTTTTGCTTATGTATGCTGCTAAATAAATATAAATACATGAATTTTTTGTAAAGTATCATTAAAAAAATTCTAATCTCAATCTTCAGTGAAGAAAACAATTCCTATTAAAGTTATAATAGTAATGCTTCGGGGGTTATATATATATATATATACATATATATAAGTCATGTAATTGGCAAATTTTTATGTTTTCATGTGGTACCATAATTAATTTTCCTCTTAGCACAGCCAACATGCATTACGTGGGTAGACTGGAATTTTCTTAAAATACACTGGAAAACCTGAAAAAGTGAAAGCCTTTGGCGCAGAAATTTGATGGCCATGAGTACAAAAGCAGATCAGCCTCATTTCGGACGTCTTGTGCAGAATGGAAGATAGCAGCAGCAAGATGTAGCTGCAGGTGTGAAAAAGGTAGTCCAAAGGAGCGATGTCGGGGCTGTATGGTTATGGTGGGTGTGGCAAAAGATCCTATTTTAGTCTACAGAGTCTATCCGGTGAATGCAGTTTGACGTTTTTCCTTGGTATCTGCGTCAACACGAACTAGCATCTCGCTGTACACCTTACCGTCTAGGGTTTTACCGTTTTCCAGATACACTTTGTGGATAATACCATGGCAGTCCCACCAGATACAAAGCATGATCTTTTTGTTACTTAAATTGTGCTTTGTGACACTGCCGATGGGCTCACCGGGTGCAGACCAACCCCCTTTTCGGCCTGTGTTGTTGAAGTAAATCCGCTTTTCATCACAAGAAACGATCCGGTCCAGAATTTCATCCTTGCTTTGATATTCAAGTGGATTAGTGCAGGCCAGAACACGTCTTTTGTTATCTGCTTGAGTCAGCTCAAACGGCACCCAGTTTCAGCAGCGGTTTCCTTTTCATGTGGCAGTTTCTTTTTACATATGATGGTTTCCTTTTACAAATTTCAAAAATGCGTTACAAATTACAACCCTCATTACAACAACTTCAAAATTATGACCCTCATGCAATGGTTTCCTTTTCAGAATTTCAAAAATTTGTAAAAGGAAACATTTTAAATTTCTAAAGGAAGTTTCTTTTAAATGCCAAAAAATCTTTTGACAAAATATGTTAAACATGCCAATGCAAACTGTTTGTGCAGACGATATTTGCGGTGGCAGGAAACTTTCGTTAAAACTCTATATAAAAGGAAACTAAAATACTTTTATTCATTCCTAGCATAGGGGCATTTAACTCCCCCCCATGAACATAATATTTAATCATAAACAGCTTGTAAAGTAATTATAAACAACTGTATCATATTCTGTCATGAACAATTATAATATAAATTGTCACCCCACTGAGTAGAGAAGTAGAAGCCTGATGCTGCCATCTGTTTCCAAGGTACCCTCAGTACGGGTGCTGGCATATTTTATATACTGGTATTAAAATTGTATTAATAATTTTCTTTTAATTATCAGTTTTAATTGAAATGCAGCAAATATACAAGTTTCAGCATGTGTGCATCATATATTTGAAGATTTTAAATGTTTTCCACCCCTCCAATAGAATTTATCTATACATTCAAAAGTTTAATCCGACTCGTCGGACTTCGGCGATTCGGATTATCGTTGTCCGGATTAATATCAGTTTAAATCTGTAGATGGCATGCATAAATTACAAAATTAAAAATATTGAAACCGTAATTATGAATAAAGAACAATTGATCTAAAGGTATCAAAATTACGAAAAAAAGCTTAATATTTATTTGTTTACTTTATTAAACATTTCCTTAAATGTAAGTTCTTCGTTTCATGTGATAAACTTCTCTTTACTCTATTAAACGACTTAATGTCGTGTTTAGTTACAAAGTTCCGTGTTCAGTCATATAATTGCTGTGAGAATACCGAAATTTGTATCGAGTTTTCGTTTCACTAACCTCTGGGTCACGTTCTTCATATCTGAAGCAATTATAATGACGAGGACTGATTTAAATCATATCAAAGAGGAGTATATCGGAGAACTACTCCCACTTAGTCGGAATTATAAACAAATAAAAGAAAACATCTGCTGAAGAAAGCTAGTGCTGACGATCATTCCAAGCCGCAGCGTGAAATTGATAAACAGATTCGGATTTCAACATACTTTCGCTTTGTAATACAAATTACATTTGTAAAATATTCTAAATTCTATTGACATAATCTTTCTAATTAGCATATCGAATATGACATTTCTGCCCCCCCCCTCTGCCGCAGAGCACGTGAAATGATAAACGATTTCGGATTTCAAATACTTTCGCTTTGTAGTAAATAATAGCGGAAATTCGATTTGACATAATCGAAAGTTCAGCTTACTTTTATAAAAGTGCTCTAACAGTCGCAAACAATAATAAGCCGATCCAATCGAAGATTAGGAAAACGCATCTCACATTACTGAGTAGATACTTAGCTAGCGTAAACTCGTTACCATTAACGCGCATGAGCACAAACATATTCGCAGCTGTAGGGTCTTATGCGCTCCGTAAACCCTGTGCGCATGCGTGAACGAGACGCATGCGCAGAAAGTTTGTAGCTTTGAGGTCCGGATTATAGATCATTCCGGATTATGGGTGTCCGAATTAACGACTTTTGACTGTATTCAAACATGATAACTTTGAACGAGGCATACTAATTTCATAACTGCAAAATATTGAGCATTCATAGGGTAGTGCTCCCATTTATAATCAAAAGGAAACACTAGAGGCTTAAGTTTACAGCTTTTGGTGTGGAAAAATTAGCATATTTTAGGAGGTTAAAAAGTTAACAAACTGCCGGTGCCCTTTAAAGGGTTAAGTAAAAACAGATTAATTAGTGTGTACATAAGGTGAACAACAGCACAAAACAAATTACGTAAGGATTTCTTAAAAAGACTAGTATTTTATTATTGGTGTTTTTTACTTTAAAAATTTTATTGATTAATTGCTGTTTTATGGAATTATTAATGCATTGCCATTTTCAAAATGGTTTCTGCCTTTTGCGTATTTAGCTGAATGGAATATAATAACATGCTAACATACTAATATGTTAGCAGCGTTTTGGTAGGAAATGCAGATAATCATAAAATACATTTTTTCATACTTTTTTATATTGTTGTTTTTTGAAGTAAATTCAAGCTTTTTTGAATTATCTTCCAATTTATTTCCAACTTTGTAACTTACTTTTCTTGCTTTATTTTTGGCCCAAAGAAAAGAAAAGGTTGCCAAGAAAACGTGAAGTGGTATAACCAATAAGTGCCAGAGATTGTAATACTTTTCTCTTTATTGTTGTAATATTTTATTTTACATTTAGGAAAGGCTGATGTTTTTAAATGTGTGAGTATACAAAAATATATCGACAGCTTTTAATAGTATAAAAGAGGATGTGTGGCAAGTGTTATGCACAAAATTATGGTGTGTACAGAATTTGCACTTGTGTAGAAACTAATTAAAGTTTTATTGTGCTAAAAGGTGCAAATAATAAAAATGTTTGTCATGTATAAATATTTTTATATTCTTTGCATTTAAGAAGTGATTGTACTTTCAGATATTAATTCAATAAGTTTTTTTTCAGTACTTAAAAAAGTAAATTATTATCATTTAAAAATTATTTTTCTTTGCTGAAAAAATTTTCCTGATATTTGAAAGTGCCTGTACAAATATTTAACGCAAATTTTATGAATGACGTTATTGTTTAGCATTACTGCATGCTAATTTATTTTTTTTAACTAATCCAGTCTGTGCATATGTTGAAGTTTACATTCTGAGAAATATTTTTATTTCTATTTAAAAGAGCTTCTATTTGTATTTAAAACAACAATTTCCTGTACTTTACTTTATACAAAGTATGATTTTCAAATACTTTTATACAAAGTATGATTTTCAGAAAAAATATTGTTAAGTTTTAAATTTGTACTCTATTATAGTTTTTTTTTAAAGCCATTATGTCGTTTGAATTAGTTGAATACATTCACTTCATTTTAATACTTTTTTTTAACAGTTTCAAAAATCATCCTTTGTATGCTCTGAAGAGGCATCTTCTAAAATTTGAAGGCATCTACCCTCCTGATGCACCAACTGTTGGTTTTCTGAGAGGGGAACCAATATATCCTCGAGAGTGTGTTGTGCAGTTACATTCTCGGGAGACGTGGATAAAAGAAGCACGTGTTGTTCGTGTAGGAGAAGAACCATATAAAATTGTGAAAGCCAGGCCTAAGTGGGATAGGGTGTGTAATGACTAAATATTTTTGTTTTATAAACTAATATTTTTATTCCGTGAGGATTTTTTAAATTTTGAACTGCAAATGAAGTCTTACTGATTTTTGATTTGATGTCAAAATATGACTTACATTTGTTTATGTATTCTTTATTGCTACTATTCATATAACAAAATGAATCTGTGTTTAATCTTTTGAAGCTAAGTTGATTAGAATGGAAGTTAAACAGTATGGTACAATAAACTGTAGTTCCTTTGCAGTAGTGCAATTTTTACCCCTTAATTTTAGCAATTATAAATTGTTGATTATTGTTTAAAATATAAGCTGAATAATGCATTTTTTTATATTTTGCTATGGATGTTATATATTTACCTATGGTCATCAATATTTTTTTTTAATGTTATAATAAAAAAATGTATTTCGCTGTCACTGGTATCCTTGTTCTTCATTGAGGGTGCCAGTGCCTCGCACCTTCCCATTCAAGTAGGTGCTTAAACGGTCTGATTTAAAAAAAAAAAAAAATCTTTACCTGAAATGAACTAAGTAAACAATAGCTTAAATTTTTTACAAAAAATTTTAATCATATATGAATACAAACATAGGTATTTAAAACATAAGATTTTGATATTGGATATTATAAAATTAAAATATTTCTAGAAAATTGTTCATAAAAGTTCAAATGTCTTTCCAATGGGTAGGTGGAGTTAATTTAGAGCAGGGTTTCTTAAACTGTGGGTCATGGGACCTGCCGCAGGGGGTTGCCAAAAATGTTAGAAGTTTTGATATATCTTGAAATGATATTTCTTACAATTATAATAATTTTACAATTACCAAATATTTTTACACAATGTATCCAAAAATAGATAAAGATAAGACAATACAGACAAAGAAAAAAACGAAGATGTTTCGACGCATTTCTTTTTATAATATTAACGTTCATTTTCCTTGCTTTGCACGGGATACTGTCATTTTGCCTGTTACTTATTTAAAATTTTCACATTGTTATATGTCTTAAAATTAGAAATTAAAGTTAATGACCTAAAACTGCAGTAGTATATTATAGTACAAGGGAAAAAATTGACAGTTTCACTCACGCGTGTGTCGAATTTGCGCAATACGTATGGGGTCCCACAAAATTTTTGTAAATATTATGGGGTTCTGGGGGTTGTGAGAAAATTTCAATGATAAAAAAGGGTAGCGACTGAAAAAGTTTTTAAGAAACCCTGATTTAGAGCATCAGCATTTAGGAACTTCCTTATCACTTTCTTGTTCATGTGTTGTAACATGTTCACTCTTTGGTGATTTATCGTAAGGATTAACACAAGCTACCATTTTTACAGTTTTCTTTTGAACTGTCTGGAGAGGAGCTTTATCTTGAACTGTTACAACAGTGGATGTTTCCCTAATTGGTTCACAGGACAATATATTTGGAGCAATGTCTCTTTTCAATAACTATTCTGGCTCAGCTGATTTTGCGGAAATTTCTATAGAAGATTTCTTTTTCTTTTGGAAATTTATCTTTTACAATTTGTTTAGTACTGTTCTTATCATCATCATCATCTGCAGCAGAATCTTGCTTGTCATCTTCTGATGAACTTCTTCACTCTCATCTGAGATGATTTTGTTCAACTGCTTTCTCAGTGCAAATTCTCAAGGATTCATCTATTAATGCTTTTTTATTTGTATTGAGTTTTATTCAATTCTTTTCAGAGCTTTTATTAATTTTCCACTGATCTTCTGACTCTTGACTGCTTTCATTTTCTTCGCTGGAACTCGTGCTTTCTCCAGATTCAGAATCAGAGATGACCCATTTATGAACCTTTGGTTTTGCTTTCTTGAATGATGCTTCATTCTCTTCAGACGGTTCTACTTTTCTTTGCTTTAGAGTTTTTTTAGGTTTAGACTCTTGCCGCTCTTCATCTGCCTCATCTGAGGATAATTTTGTATAACTAGTCATTTTTTGTGCAGTTCATCGAGTAACAGGTCTATATGTGTTACTTCCTTCCTCATCCCATTCCATGAACTATCTCTTTTTCTTCTTTTCACTTTCTTCTTCCTTTTCCCCTTGTTCTGGCAGGCAGAAACCCGTAGTGTGCTTTGCCATAATTAAATAAACCAAACCAAACCCTTGTTCTGACTATGCTCCATTCACCAAAAACTCCATTTCTTGGTCAGAATCATTACTTGATGGAGGAGGATTATGTTCAAAATCAGTGCTTAGTCCTTTATATTCCTCATCTCTGTCTTCATCCTCATCAGTAAAATCTAAATCATTTAATTTTTTGCTTCTTCTTCTTCTGGTCTTTGTTTTCAGTATTTTTGCTGCAAATGATTTGTTATTAACACCTGTTAAATTATTTACAGAGTAATCATTGATACTGTGCAGGAATATTTTAGCATCTTCGGCAGCATTGGACATTACATTATTCATACCAGAGCTAACAAATATCTTTGTGAGACCATTATATTTCATCAACATTCAGAATAGTAACAGAACTTTCAAAATTATATTTAGATGAAATCAGTTCATTGTAAACACTAAAACTTAACAGTAAATCATATACTAGATTATCAACAGTAGCACACATAAGTGTAACTGGTGTGTACACCGTATTTGGTTGTCAGATCATCACTAAATTTACATTTATTAAAGAGGCATTAGCTGTCTGTCTAAAAGCAGATTTTAATATTACAGTTCCACATGGTCTTTTACAATATTCTGGAACATCATTGCTCTTTATAATACTGATCTGAGTGGCAGTATCAATGACAGCATTTAACCCTTTATTTCCACATTCTACTTGTACTGTAATTAAAGGAATCAAAATGACTATTAATTTCATCAGACTTATCCTATTAAAACATCATTTGATATATTTGATACAAGTAAATGATTTTCTGTGTTACTACATTGTTTTATCGATTTCCGACATTTTGCTTTACAGAATTACATAAGGATGTATCATGAATGAATTATTGCATAGTTCATAATGAATTTTTACTCTGCAGTCTTGTACTATATGCCTGTTGATGAAGCATTTGTAACACCGGCCCTGCCCTTTTAATTTCTCTCTTTTCAAGCTTATGTCAATATTCGAACATTTTCCTGTGTCGTAGGTTAGTGACTCACAAAATGAACATGTTCTAAACGTGGGTGCAGTGAAGGCTTTTAGCTAGTCAGTTGTTCTTATTTGCATGGCTACTGATAACAGTCTACGTCTGTTCATAATGGCGTGTGGTGCTAAACCAAAATTTAGTGTAGCCGTTCTGTCATCTGCATTATTACTTTTGCTGTCTCTCTTGAGCATGTAATTCTTTTTTGAGGAATTCTAGAAATTTATTTATATCCAAATGTGTTTCCTCATCATTCATATGACTGTATTCTAATCCTAACTGTGCTGGAATTACTTTAGATATAACTAGAATCAACACGTTATTCTAAGTTTCGGGATTAACATTTAAAGAAGAAAGACCTTGAACCTGTATTTCTATATCATATAATATTCTTAATTTTAAAACATTGCTTGATCAGTAAACAGAAGAGAGATTTAGTTGTCATATGTGCGTTTATGATAACATTGTGCCTTCTAAATCTAGTATTTAAAATTTGTATTGCTGCAATGTAATTTCCTTCAGATATTGAAAAACCTTTTATTACGTTGATGGCATTTCCACTTAAGCAGAATTTTAAGCAATTAAATTTTTCTGCTTTCGAAAGGGCAGCATTGTTGTATATTGCGACTTTGAATGAATTCTAAAAACTTATACATTATCTAACATCACCATAAAATTTAGCAATCTCTAATTTAAGAAGGCAAACTTGATGATTTTCACTCTTGTGTTCGGTTGATTGAATATCCGATTTTGTTTTGTGTTGTTCCAGACTGTCAAGTTTCTTTTCATCATTTATCAAAGGTTCATCTAAATTATACGGTTCTTCTTATTTTTCAATTAATAATTCTAAAGAATCTTCTAATAAATTTTCAGTATCACTATTAGTATTTTTTATATTGTCATGTACTTTTTTTACAATGTTACTAATTTATGTTTTGAAAACTCTGTATTTTTTAATGTTTCCATTTTAACATAAACAATGTAAAATTTTTACCTTATGATGCCAATATTCTATCCCATTTTTTTGGTACTAGTTTGTTGTGACTGAGGATTGTGGGTTCTTTTCATCTGTTATTTGGTGTCAGACATCAAATAAACCTGTATTTTTAAATGTTTGAATTTACAGTAATGTAACGCAACAGCTATATCTTTTATATATCACAGACCTGTTTTTAAGATTTTTTTTAAACCATTAAGCCAGTTCCACATGATCTGCTTTTAAATACAATAAGCATTTTGTTTGATCCGTTTTGCTGTTTTTCTCTGCATTTTGCTGGTGCATCCTGACTTCCCAGAAACACCACCAAGCGTCAAAGTCAAACCCACCAAGCGTCAAAGTCACTGGATATGTCCATTCTGGCAGAAGTTCAAATGAAACAATCGTTCTGTATTTAGTTAATTAATGAAGAGATACAAATTATGGAGGTAGCATTAAAAAAATTAATGGCATCTCATAATTTTTCACTTTACATCATCATTGTGTATCCATTTTCAAAGTCCCATATCATGACTTTTGCTGATGCCTGTAACTTTTAAAATACTCTACTATATTCAGTCCCAAATATTAATAATTTTTTTCAAAATTCAAGGAAAAACATAGAGAATTAATCAAATTTACATTAAAACAAAACAGACTTCTTTTGTTTGTCATGATTATCCATTATTGTCGCTAAATCATCCTGTCTGGCAATCATGAATGCATGTTAATAAGATTAAGAGCTCAATAATGGCATTACATATCTCTCGTTTACCAAATTTTTCAGAAGGAAGAATTCCTGAAATTCTAAAATATTCTCTTTAGTTGTGCTTTCCCGTTGGTTGAATGCTAGATAACTAGGCTTTTATTCTATATCTTTTTACGAAAGTCTGTTCAGAGCTTCAAGTAAAGCATCACTTCTGGTCTGTCAGTTCCAGCCAAAATCTATCAGTGTTGTTTGCAATAATATAAAAGTTTTAGATTTATTTTAATATAATTTTTCCATTGAGAACTACTATCGGCTTCAGGTAAAGTATTACTTCTGGTTGCCTATTAAAGACTGTTATAGGCTTTATGTAATGTACCACTTCCGGTTATCCAGTTTTGCTCCAAATTTAATTAACTCTTTATATGAATGTGAAAAACTTAAATAAAAATTTTAAGAAATATAATTTTTTTAAAGTTTCATATGAGTTATTCTGGCTGGAAAAATTGTCACGCACATACAGACACACATTATTTTAAAAAAAGTAAAAATATGCTGTGGGACCCTAATTTCTGCTTATTCACTGAAAACTTGCTATCAGATTTTAGAAGTGAAAACATTATTTTCCGTACCTGTTTATGTATGTTGGTGGGAGGTAAAAATAGTGAGTTCCCTTTTCTCCCTTTAGTGGAGCTATCCATTTTATACACATTTCTTGGGCTCAACGTTCTACTAGTGTAAACAGGCTACTGTGGGCTTCAAATACAGTATTGCTTCTGGTTGTTGACTTTTACCCCAAATCTAATTATCTGTTTATATAAATGCAGAAAGCTTAAATGTAAAATTGGAACTTTAAAAAGGTTGTTTGCAGACGAAAACGTTATCAGATACAGACAGAAGAGAGCACTGCTGGAGTAGGCCTTCGTCCTGCCATTAATCATGGGGGATGGTTGCCAATGGATATATTCTATATCTTGTGCAGCTTGCATTAGAACATTAAAAGAATACTACATGTACATTAGAATTGTGCATATAAATATTATATAAAAAGTTAGATTATTTAGATATGTATAACTAATTATGATGTAGACTAGTGCTTTTACAGTTTTGAATCACAATGTGTGATACATATTTAAGAACAAAATATATGGGATGATATATAATTATATACACTTTTGATACATTAGTCTTATCTCTTGAGATTAATGTAAAGCTATTATTTGAGGTGGAATCACTTATCATAATGCAGTAGCTTAAAATAGGGAACAGTTTTGTAAGAACATAAAGGTATCAGATTCAGACAGACATAAAAATAGTAAAGATTTGTTGCCGAGACCTTAATTCTTGCTTATCCGCTGAAAACTCACTATCCAATTTTGAGACTGAAAACATTACCTCCCTTACCTGTGATACAGGTTGATGAAGCAAAAATCATTTTCTGTGGTATGTATTATTTTCATTTTAGTTAGAGTCAGAAGACTGTATGATATAATATATGCAGATTTTCTGAATTTTGGCGTGAATAATTTCTATTTATTGAGTAGTACATAATACAGAAGAGTATGTGGTTTCCAGCTGATCCCTTTCATAATTTAAAGTGAATTTACAACATAAGAGAAATTTTTGAGTTGACCACTTTCAGTTAGTTTAATATTGTCATTTTGATAAACTGCTCACTCACAAATAAAATTATTTGTTTTTAATTTCATGATTTCTCTATTTCTATGTGTAATTTTATTTACTAAAATTTTGCATTATCATTTCTGTAATATATGAGCATCCATTAGGCTGTGTATAATGGTAAAATGAATTTGAAATAAAACTTATAAAAGAACTTTTTATAAATTATAACAATAATAGCTTATTAATTTTTCTGTTTGTAGAGAGATTTTTAAAGAAAAAGTTACAATTCTAACGTTATACAGACAGTAATTGAATAACCATTACAGATAGCTGGTCTTATGAGGACAGATTTACCGCTTGAATTATTTGGGCACTGGCAGACGGACCAGTATGAACCTCCTGTTGCTAAAGATGGTAAAGTTCCAAGAAATGAATATGGAAATGTTGAATTATTTAAGCCATGCATGTTACCAAAAGGAACTGTACATTTACAAAGTATGTTTGTTTCTGACCTCTTTCATGTTCATATATTGAAATATGCATGATTGTATTAAAAATTATATCTTTGTGTATATATCTGAATTAATATTTTATGTAATATTATTTTTGAAAGGAATTGTTTCAAAATATATAAGGTAATGTTTTCTTTTTTAATTTATGCATAAAAAAGTATTAGGCTTCTTCTTGTGCTGTATCTGATATAAATTTTTTATATGACCTGTGGTATTTATTATATTTTTGACCTTCACTGTTTTAAACTGCTGGTGATTTCCCTTCTCAATGCTATAGATTATTAGTCTTTAATAAACAATATCCACTAAAAGTACAAATGTGGTATTTGACTAGAAAACTTAAAATTTAACAAACCTAAAAAAAATAGACATGATCAAAATTTTCAGGAACAATATGGCTTATATACACTCACTTCCAAAAGTTAAGCACGGAGAGGAAAATGCTAATTTTCGGAAGCCAATCAGAATTGAAGAGGATGCAATTCGCTGCAAAGGTAGATGGAAGTATGCAAATATGTTAGGTAACAGCCAATCGCGCTTTCATGTCAAGAAATATGCAAAAAAGGCAGTCTTATAAGCCAGCTTTATGAAGGGTTACAGAAGTTGATTGTAAGTGCTGATAGAAGGTGTTTAAAACTTTCGCACAATTTGTTTTCAAGACACGTGTTTCTATGACTTCCAGAAGGTGAATGGAAGATTCTGAGCGCTGGCGTGCTGGGGGCACATTGAAACAGGACAGTTGATCACAGATGTTGCTCTTTTCTTTGGCGTTCCTTCATTCTGTAATTTCACGTTTATGGAAACAATTCCAAACCACACAGACAGTTGTCCAAAGGCCGTAGCCAGTCACCCAAGGGTTACAACCCCTGCGGAAGATTGATATATTGCTACTGTGGCTAAGCGGAATCGCAGAGCTACCTTCACATGTATGACATCTATGGTTACAGCGTCCATTGGTAAGGTGATATCTGCAGCTACTGTATGCCGAAGATTACATATGAGTGGACTGTACGCCCGGGTACCTGGAGTTTGAGTTCCTCTATCCGTCCAATCAAGAGGGGCACGATTACAGTGGTGCCGGGAACATGTCAATTGGAATAAGTCTGAGTGGGCAATTTCATGTTTACTGATGAGTCAAGATTTGCTCTGGAGCCAGAGACAAGGATATGGCATGAACAACGAACACACAATCAGTCCCAAAACATCACCAGACATCACGCATTCCAAGGCAGAAGCATTATGGTGTGGGCAGGGATTTCATTAGGATAACGCACAGACCTGTACATCTTTAAATGGGGCTCTTTGACGGCTGTCCGGTATCGAGATGAAGTCCTAGAACCCATTGTGAGATTGTACACTGCAGCAGTTGGCCCTACTTTTGTTTTAATGGACAATAACGCACGTCCCTATAGAGCTGACATCGTAGATGACTACCTGGAGAGTGAAGGGATTGCGCGTATGGCGGGGCCAGCATATTTGCCCAACCTTAATCCCATTGAAAATCTTTGGGATGCTCTCGGTCGTATTGTATCTTCACGTTTCCCACCTCCAGCCACTCTTATTGAGCTGGAAACTGCTCTACAAGAAGAATGGCGATTGCTTAATTCTGCAGTGGTTGACCACCTAATTGAAAGCATGGTCACAAGAGGTAAACTTTGTGTACAGATGAGGGGGATCACGTACCCTATTTATTTTTTTTTTTTTTTTTTTTTTTTCCATTTTATGCTGTTTATTTTCACTTTATACATAATTTTGTTTGTCTCCAGTATGTCATTATCTGATAACTTACAAAAATTATATATTGTTTTCATTTCTGTATATAATTATTGATTTTGTTTTATGCATAAATATATATGCTACTTTCCTGCTGAATTTTGTGTCAATCAAAGCAGTATTTGTTGGTTTTTTTTTGCATTTTACATCGTGCTTAACTTTTGGAAGTGAGTGTATTTACACAATCAGAAGAATTTGTCCCAAAGTTTACATGTCTAAGTTACAAATCTTTTATGCATTGTCATTTTATAACATGACAGATAGTAATGCAGTAATCAAGTTCTTAAACATATCTCGGCATGTCCATAGCAGTTATTGTGATGCACTGTTACCAAGATTCTGTAAGCTTGTAGAAATGGGAGAATAAAAACTTGTTCCTTGATGTATCTCCATAACAAGGAATCACACAATATTAAATCCGAATTTCTTAGTGACCAGCATATCAGAACCATGCTGTGGTTAGTTGAACAGCCAAGTCAGTGCCAAAGCAGATTATCATTGATACTGTGTTCTGAAACAGTAATATACAGCAGTAACAGAATTTGTTTTTATATAATCAAGGACACAAAAAGCTACCTGATAGCATTCATATTGCTTCACTGTAACATTCATGTGATGCTGACTTGACACACAAACACACACACACACACACACACAAAAAAAAAAAACAAAAAAAAAAAAAAAAAAAAAAGTAGGAAATTCATAAACTTTTTCTATAAAATGTACTTCCTTATAAAACACTTATTCACTTATGAGCATTTAATGTTTTTTTTTTCTCTCTCTTTTATTGTTTATGTACCATGTAATATTTAAAAAATAAGAAGCAATAGCAAGATCGTCCCAAACCATTAAGCACACTGATGCACCTCAGTGAAAATGACTATCCTTTTCTGTAAACAGACACATTTTGTTCGTACCAATAACCATTTAAACATACCCATGGCATTCAATCCTTCATAATCCTACTCAAGAACTTCTTCCTCCTCATGAAGATAAAAATGAAAAAGCTGGGAATATAAGATGGCTCTATACACAGCGGAAAAGGATACATCTCCTCTGGAATGTAAAGTAGTTACAAGGGCTGAATGCTATCGCATTATCCTGTCCCTGTCGCCATTTTAAAATGCTAGTTTTAGTAGGATACTATGAGCATTGAAGATACATTCTATAGTTTTCTCTCTCCTCTCCCCCCAATGATTGTTAAATTCCCAGTAAAGGTAATAAGAATCTCCAGTTTTAAGTTTTATAGCTTGTTAAGGAACTTTTATACAGGGAATCCAAGCAATGGATATAACATATAATATTAACAAGTAATATTGAAGTAAGCAAGTAATATCAAAGAGAGTGATTACCAGTACATTTTAGTACATGTTTTTGTATATGATCTTTAATAATATAATTTAATCTTTTAGCACTCCGCTGCATATTTTACTGTTTTAATTTTCAAGATGTAAAGTTATTGAAAGGGGGATAAGAATGCTTGAGTAAATATGACAAATAAATATATTTTTATTTACTTAATTATACAGGGCTATTAAAAAGAAAGAGCAGATTGCAAACATGTATTTCTTCCAAACTACAAAAGAATAGAAACATGATTATAACGTTAATGGATAGAGAAAAGTGTACAATTTAGTACGGTTAAAAGTTCTAATCATGGCCGCATTGGCACTGTTGTTTGTTCTGGTATTATTTGTCAGTTGGTAGTATGTAGTGAAATGGCGGCGACACCACAGCAGAAGTCTTTTTGTGTTCTACAATTGGCAAAACTAGAGTCCATTGTTGCAATTCAGCGAGCATTTCGCGGTCAATTTAATAAACAACCACCGTGTCATAAGCAAATTTACGAGTGGCATAGAAAATTCGTAGAAGATGGTTGCATCTGCAAAGGGAAAAGCACGGAACGTCTACGCACATCGAATGAGAATGTCGAGCGTATTCGTACACGTACCAAAGGAGAGAGCCCAAAGAAATCCACATCGCGAGCAAGCAAAGAACTTAAAATTCCTCAACCAATGGTATGGTGAATTCTAAAACATCGTCTGCACATGAAGCCATACAAATTGCAGTTATTGAATGCATACCATAATTGTAAACTTTTTCTCTATCCATTAACGTTAGAATCATGTTTCTATCTTTTGTAGTTTGGAAGAAATAAATGTTTGAAATCTGCTCTTTCTTTTTGAATAATCCTGTATTGTCACATAGTAAAGAAATAGAAGAATATAAAATAGATGTAAATTTTTAGATGTTCTTTTTTTTGTGGGTTTGCTTATGTACTGCAGAAGTTATTAAATGGTTGATTGTGAAATTAATAATTACTCAAAATATTTGGTACATGATCCTACATTTTTTACTTTCATAATATTGTTGGAAATTTAAATAACTGTATATTTAGTACTTGTGTTTAAATCTCTACTATTATATTCTTTAGATGAAGAATTGTTCATGATTCTTAGTCCTACTGATAGCAAAATCACCTGTGTGGTGACTGGATGTAAAAGAATAGTCCCAATGTAGTTCATGAGTGTCGCAAGAGGCGACTGAAATGGGCACCCAACATCCGGGCACTCTGCCCTTGAGGATTATGTCAGGGAATTGGTCCTCCAGGTTGCAGGTTGCACACAGGGCTAATCACCCTGCCTGATTAAGAAATGTCACAAAGAATTTTCTGGACTTGTACATTCTCGATGACCTAGCATGAAATCGGACCTGAAGTTTGGAACATTGAATGTACAAACTTTACGCAGAGTTTGTACAGTCCTTAAAAGTCCTTAGGGTTTTTTTAAATCAATTTTTGGTCTTTAAAAGTCTTTAATTTTGAACAAAATCGGCAGAACATACGTAATTTTAATCATCTGAAATTTCTGTCTGATTTTACCACTGTGATTTTGAGTGTGAATTCTTTAGCATTTACAGTAAACTTTTTAATCTTTTTCTGTGTGTGTGCTTTTTCATTGTTTGCATGCCATGTAATATATAAAAAACAAGAAGCAGTAGCAAGATTGTCCCAAACCATTAAACACACATATGCACCTCAGTGAAACTGACTAGCCTTTTCTGCAAATGGACAAGTTTTGTTCATGCTATTAACCATTCAAACATACTCATGGCATTCAACCCTTCAAAAATCCTATCCAAGAGTATTTTTGGGTCACTCATAAATATGATTATTGTTTGAATTTGTTCCTATTTCTAATATATACGGTG